GCGTACATGGAGGTCAGGAAGCTCTGCGAGCGGAAGTGCACGTTCAGCTCCGGCAGCTGCTCCTGCCACGGGAAACGGGAATTCGGGGGATTCAGGGACAGAAATGGGAATTCGGGGTCAGACAAAAACGGGAATTCGGGGTTGGATTAAAGGACAGAAAAGGGAATTCGGGATCTGTCCCTGTCCCCATCCCTGTCCCCGCTGTCCCCACCTGCAGCAGGAACTCGAACTGGTAAATGCAGAGCCCCAGCTCGGCCATGCTGGGCTTGAAGAGCTCGCGCAGCCGGTACTCCTGCATCAGCCGCACGAAGACGCTGAACGCCTCCTCCTCCGGCATCTGGGGACGCCAACAGCCGGCAATTCCCACCAAAACCCCAGGAATTCCCACCAAAACCCCAGGGATTCCCACCAAAACCCCAGGGATTCCCACCAAAACCCCAGGGATTCCCACCAAAACATCCAGAATTCCCATGGAAGTGATGGAACTCCCACCAAAACCCCTGGAATTCACACCAAACCTCCCCCATTCCCATCATACCCCCAGGATTCCCAGAAAACTCCCCAGGATTCCCACAAAAACCTCTGGAATTCCCAGGAAACCCCAGAATTCCCAGAAAATCCCCTGGGATTCTCACAAAAACCTCTGGAATTCCCAGAAAACCCCCCAGGATTCCCACAAAAACCTCTGGAACTCCCACCTGCATCAGCAGCAGTCCCACGATGAAGGCGCTGCCCTGGCAATATCCGACCTCCCGATCCACCAGGGAATAGGCCTGGAAAAATGGTAAAAATCCAAAAAAATCCAAAAAAATCCAAAAAAATCCAAAAAAATCCATGGATTTGGGTCACGGCTCCCCTGCTCCGGACATTCCTCGAGAGGGAAGCCCTGACCACGGAAACTGGGATTTTTTTTGGGATCCCAGGATTAGGATATGGCTGAAAAGTTGGATTTAGATCCCAAAAGACATCAAGTTTTGGGTTAGAAATTCCAAATTAATGGGAAAAATGAAGTCGGGAATGAGGTAATTTGGGGAGGAAAAGGTAAAAATTGCTGGCTCCAGGGGTTTGGGATGGAACCAAATCCCTCAAAATTTGGGCTGGGACCAAACCCCCCAAAAATGAATTTGTGATGGAACCAAAAATGAGTTTGGGGTGGCCCCAACCTCTCCATGGAGGTCCCCAGATCTGTGTCACCTTCGCAATGTCCCTGTCCCACCCCAGACCCCTGTCCCGAGCGTCCCCATGTCCCCAAACCCCCGTCACCTTCATGACGTTGAAGAGCACCTCCTGGCCCAGGCTGTCCTGGCCCTTGAAGAAGTCGTGCTCGGGGTAGGTGCGGGCGATGTCGCGGCGGATCAGGCGCTCGCAGGGCGACGACATCCGCAGCAGCTCCGAGTACTGCGCCTTGAGCGGCAGCTCGGCCGCGCTGCACAGCAGCTGCCACACGATGGCCCGGAAATGGTGCGGGATCCCCTTCCGGATCAGCTCCTGGGGACAGGGACACCCCAAATGTGACCCCAAAGCTCCAAACGTGACCCCAAATCTGCTGCTCCAGGGCACAGCAGGCACCACGTGATAGACCAGAAATGCTGTGGGATCCCCTTCTGGATCAGCTCCTGGGGACACGGGGGTCACTCTGACCCCAAATGTGGTCACAGCTGTGTCCTCCTGTTGACCCAATCCACCCCAAAATGTGTCCAGTTGACCAAATCCACCCCAAAATGTGACCCGGGAGGACAAATCCCATCTCAAAAAACGACAAATTGAAAAAAAACCCATCCCAAAACACAAGGAAGCGGACAATTTCACCCCAGAGCACGACAAACCGGGGTCACCTTGAGCAGCTTCTCCTTCTTCTTCCTCCACTCATCCCACTCGTTGACGATGCGGCCCCAGAGGATCCAGGTGTCCTCCTCCAGGTGGCTGAGGTTGGACGAGGCCGAGGAGCTGGACACCAGCGAGGAGCCGCTGTTGCGCCGCGAGCCGTTCACCGAGCGCATCGACTTGGAGTCGGCCTCCAGCAGCCTGGGGACACCCAAAACTGACCCAAAATGTCCCCACAGAGGGTGGGAGAGACCCAAAATGTTCCCAGAATGAGGTGGGATTGACACCAAACTGCCCCAAAACTGCCCCAGTTTCCTCACTGGTTCTGCTCCCCCAGCTTGGCCAAAACTCCAAGCTGGAGAATCTCTAAATATCTCCAAAAATTGAGATGTTACCCCCAAAAAGAAGATATTCCTCCTAAAAATTGATACATTCTCCCAAAGAAATGGAGATATTCTCCCCAAAAAACACTCCCAAAATGAAAATATTCCTCCCAAAATAATTTAAAAAATGCAGATATTCCCCACAAAAATGGAGCTATTCCCCTAAACCCATATGAAATGAATTTGAGTTCAAATTCCTGCCCAAATGAAGGGTGTAAAACACCAAAAATGAGCTTTTTCCTCACCGGTTCTGCTCCTCCAGCTTGGCCAGCAGCTCCAGCTCGTCCGGGCTCAGGTTCTCCGAGTCGGACGTTGGGGACCCTCCGGGGGCCGAGGGCCCCTCGTGGGACGAGGAGTCCGGGCTGGCGGCCGGAGAGGCCATGGCCGGCCTGGGCTCACCTGGACGGGCCAAAACCCCACATTTCAGCCCCAAAATCCAAGGTTGCAGCCCAAAACCCCTTTTTCAGCCCTAAAATCCTGGGTTTCAGCCCAAAACCCCACATTTCAGCCCCCAAATCCCACATTTCAGCCCCATTCCTCCGTCATTTCCACCCTTCTCCCTTTTTCTGCCTTTTCCACCTTTTTTCCCCTCCCCCCCCCTTTTTTCACCCTTTTTTTCTTCTGTTTCCACCCCATTCCCCTTCTGTTTTTGCTGCCATTTACTGAAACCATTTTGTGCTTTTTTTTATCCCAATATTTGCCCCACCTTGAAAATTTTCCCCTGTTTTTCCTCCCTCCCAAAAGTTCCACATAACAGGGATTCTAACCCAAATCCAGCAGCAATTTTTGCACTTTCTGCAGAGCCCAAAACACCAAAACTCCACCAATCTGCCCCAAAAATCCCAACTGAAGGATGAAAAAAAAGACGGGAAATGCAAAAAATTACGGATTCAACCCCAAACATTCCAAAGATGAGGAAAAAAGAAAAAAAAAAATTATAAAAATGGGGTGAAATCTCAGATTTTGCTGACACCGTGGAAAACCAGGTGGGAATTTTCAATCCTCTGAATCAAAAATGACCAAAAATGGGGGAAAAAAAAAATCAAATTTAGCAGCTAAACGGAGCCTCCCCATCCAGCCACCTGCATTCCCAAATTCGGGATTTTTTTGGAAAATTCCTCTAAACGCCAGCAGGGAGAGGAATTTTTTATTTTTCTGGTCTGGAATTGGATGAAAAAAGCCCCAAATTGTGATTTTTCACCAAAATTGTGGCTTCCCCCTCCCATCCAGGCTGGGAAAAGCAGTGGGAAAAAGGGAAAAATCCCAGAGGAAGGTGGAAATTTGGGGGAAAACCGTGGGAAATGATGAAGGGTTGATTGACAGCTCCCGGTAAAGCCCAAATCCCTGGATTTCAGCTCAAAGAGGAGGGGGGAAAACCCCAAACCCCTCCCCAAAATTGGGGGAGTCAAGGAGGGGAAAATTCTCCCAAAATAAAGATTTGGGGATGGATTTGGGAGGGGTTTTGTTTTTTAATTCTTTTGTTTTTAACCAAAACCTCAGGGTTTTAAGGGAAAAGGGAGCCCAGAGTGCCCCAAAATGGAGGAAAAAAGCCCAATTCTCCCTCAGAATTGCAGGGTTTCATTCATTCACTCCTGCCAATTACCCCCCACACACAAAAAAGGGGAACACAAAAGGATGGGAGGACCCCAAATTCCTCCAATTTGGAAGGCGACAGAACCAAAATCCCCCTCTTAAAACCCTCCCTCAGAGCCTGGGCTGGAGGTTTGACCCCAAAAACCCCAAAAGGGGGGGGGGGGGTCACCCCCCAAAAAACCCACAAAAAGGGGTCAGCCCAAAAAAACCCCACAAAGAGGGGTGACCCCAAACCCCCACACAAAGGAGGGGGGGAACCCAAACCCCCTCAAAAATGGGGGCGACCCCAAATTCTCCTCAGGAGGGGTCAGCGAAGGGCCCCCACAAAGGGGAGGTGGCTCCAGATGCCCCTGAGGGCTGTCATCCCCTCACGCAAAAAAGGCGGGAACCCCCCCGCGCCACTGGGGAGGGTCACCCCCATTTTCCCCCTCAGGGGGCCGATGCCCCGCCCCTCATCCCCCTCACCCCTGAGGGGGGGACACCCCCATTGTTTCAATGACAGCCCCTCCACGGCCCCCCCGGCCCCTCGCACCTGCGGTCCGTGGCCATGGCGACCCCCGGCCGCCACCTCGGGGGGGCTCCGCGCCGTTGCCCCCTCACCGGGAGCCCCGCGCCCGCCGCCATCGCGGATCCGCCGCCGCCCCGGCCGGCGCTGACTGACAGCGAGGCCGCCCCCCGCTCAATCAGCGCTCCTGTTCCGCGTCTGGGCTCGCCCACCCGCCGCATCTTCGCCAATCACTATGGGGATCTGCGGCGCCGAGCCCCGCCTGCAGCCCCCTTTAGCAATGGAATCGCGCATTCGAGTAGATGGGCAGGGCGCTTTTCCAATGAGTGCCAAGGAGATGCTAGCGCCCACACCCCAGTGAGAAGCGGTGGGGAGCGGCGAATGGCAGGCTCAGGTGCGAAGCGGTGGAAAGCGGTGTGGGAACCGACGAATGGCAGGCTCAAGTGCGGATGATGGATGGGTAAAATAGCTAATCAACTGCCTCGTCTCGCTTGGAGTGGCACCTGGCTGACAGGAGAGGACAGCAAGCCCCGCCGCTCCACCTGAAGGCTGGTTATGATTGACAGGAGTCTCAGACAATTGAGGAGCAGAAGCTGCTGAGACAGCCAATGGAAGCGCGGGTACCAGACAGAGCTCCGCCCCCCCAGCTCTCAGCGCTGCTCTCACCCTCCTGGGGAGAGTCGCGACTCTTATTGACTCATAGCAATGATGGACAGGAGGCTGCTCCTATGGGGCGTCGAGGAGCCCTGTCGGATAGGGAAGCGGTGCCATTGGAGACCCAAGGAATCGGGGAGAGCGGCGAAGGGTAATGCGGGATGGATTGCTCATTCCCTCAAGGATCTGGATATGGGAATGCCCAGGGATGGGGTGTCAGGGATCCCTGTTCACATAGGATGGGAATATTCCTCCAAATACCAGGAATTCCGTCACCTTTCCCTTTTTTCTGTTCCACATGTGATACATCCCAGTTCTTCCCAACTGATTCTCTTTTCCAGACTCGATTCCCTTAATCTTCAGATTCTTCTTTATTTTGCTTTTTTTCTCCAAAATCAGATTTTTGCTCCCTCAGCCCCCCCTCCCTTTTTTTTTTTGCCCAGAAAAGGCTCAGAACCCTCATTAGTGCATCCACAGGCTCTGAGTTGGTGCTTAAAATCTGCCCCAGCACAGGAAAATTCCTGCCTTTTCCCCCTCACGTTTCCCGCCCTTTTTCCCCCCCTCACGTTTCCCGCCCTTTTTCCCCTGCCTGGCTTACAATAACCCTCAGTGCCACCCAGTTTCTTCCAATGATTCCCCAGGAGCATCTCCCACCTCCTTCCCAGCCCTTTTTTCTACCACAAGTAAGAATTTAGGACAAATTTGTGATTTTGCTTGGAGTCACACATATTATTGAGGGTTATTTCAGGGACTTTGAGGTTTTTTGGGGGGGTGGGCTGTGGGGTTTTTTTTGGGGGGGAGGATGTTCTGGAGGGCTTGGGGGTTATTTTTTGGGATTTGGGGTTTCTTTGGGGGCAGGGTGGGGGTTTCTGGCGGGCTTGGATTATTTTGCAGGCTTTGGGGGAGGCTGGGTTTTTTTTGAGTCCTCATTTGAGCTGAAAATCAAATTTTTGCCATGGTTTGGGGAGTCACGGGAATTTTACGGAGTTCTTTGTCGCTTTTACAGATTTTTTAGGGAGTTTTTGGATTTTTTTAGGGAATTGGATGGATTTTTAGGGAATTTCCAGGTCTTTCAGAAGCAAAAAATGGGATTGCAGAGCCTCCAGATGCCTCTGGAGCCTGTGCAGCTCTGAGCAAAGCACTTCAAAATTCTGGGTGTTTCACAGAGCTGGTGCAGATTTTTCAGGAATGGGGGGAAAAGGTGAGGAATGGCAATCCCAGGATTTCTCACAGATCCAGCGGTTGAGTTTGGAGCAGTGCTCCCCGATCCAACGGCCGTTGGATTTCATGGCTCCACAATCCTTGTGCTCCTTGTCCGGGTCCTCAGACCACACATCCCAAAATCTGGGGGGAAAAAGAGGGAGAAGGGGAAAGAGAAAATCAAGGAATAAAAAATGAGTGGGAAAAGCTGAAATTGGAATTTCAGGGGGAAAAGACTACAAAAAGCTCCATTTTTTTTCTGGTGCCAGGCAGAAAACGCTCCCATAATCCCATTTTTCCAATGGTGAACTCCCAAAATCCCAGGTTTTGGGGGATCAGCTTTATCCTTCTCATTAATCTTCAGATTTTTGGGGGGATTTCTGTCAGGAATTTTTACCCAAAACTTGGAGTTTCACCGGTGATCCAAGTCCATTTCCCTTTGTGCTGCTCGTTCATCACCCCCATCCAGTAAGAGTTGTTCCTTTGGATGTTTTCTACCAGAAACATCTGGAAAAGCGGAATTCCTTAAAACAGCCCCAAATCTATCATTCTGGTGGGTTATGGGTCATAATTCCCAGGTTTTTGGTAATTGTGTTGGGGCACCATTATATATACATATATACATTAAACTGCTAAATGAATTGTATAATCATTAATTGTGTGCAATTTAATTTTTTTTCAGTTCTTTTGTTTTTGTTATTTAGTTTTAGGTAATTATTGATTACGCATAAGGTATTTCATAAGCAAATTATTTAAACATTAATAGTGCATTATTTCATAATTAGTAAACTCAGTTTTATGATTTTAATTTTTTTCAGTTAAGCTTTTCTTTAAAATCAAATCAAGTATTAATTACAGATTGTTGCATGCCACCTATACAATTAACCATTAATTACACAAATAACTTCATTTTGATTTAGAACACATTTAATTTTTAGAACACATTTAAATTTTGTGTTTAAAGTCCAAGTTTAGGAGCTTGACTTTTCTCCCCTCACGTTTTCCCGCCCTTTTCTCCCCTCACGTTTTCCCGCCCTTTTCTCCCCTCACGTTTTCCCGCCCTTTTCTCCCCTCTTTGTCCCTTTTCCCTAAAACAGGGACATTCCCAACAACAGAACTCAACCTGGCCACGGGACCATCTCCGCTTCCAAAAACAATTCCCAATCCTGGTGAGTTGCACCCCAAAATGGAGCGGGGAATTCCCACGCTGGGGATTCCCTGGGAAAACCTCTGGGGTTTGGGATTATTTGGGGTTTGGGATTTATTTGTGATTTTCCCCTCACCTGCTCTTTCTCAGTGCTGACCACGACCAGGTGGGCGCTGAAGGTGGCACAGGAGTTCTGGGCCTTGCCCCAGCTCTGGGGAATCTCCGAAAAGAGGTAACAGGCGTTCTTGTGAAATTGCCACCCCTCCGGGCACTTGTTGGAGTTGTTGATGGTCTGGCAGAGCAGATCTGGGAAACGGGGGGAAAACACAGCGAAAGGGTGAAAATCCAGGGGAAAACCACAGAGAAACGGTGAAAATACGGGGAAGAAAGGTGGGAAATTCTGAGGGGTTTGGGGGTGAATTCCTTAGGGTATGTGGGAATTTTAGGTGTTTTCAGGGGAATTCCAGAGGTTTTGGGGGAAAATCCAGGGGTTTTGGGGGAATTTGGGGGATTACCGGTGATCCTGTCCAGCTCCATCTGGTGCCACTGGACCTGCAGCAGCTCCTGCCAGGCTGGGAATGGGGAGGAGATCCCAGTGCTCCCAGTACAGACCAGTGCTCCCAGCACGGCCCAGTGCTCCCAGCACAGCCCGGTGCTCCCAGTACAGCCCGGTGCTCCCAGTACGGCCCAGTGCTCCCAGTACGGCCCAGTCCCTCCCAGTTCCTTCCCAGTCCATCCCAGTTCCTTCCCAGTGCTCCCAGTACAGACCAGTGCTCCCAGCACAGCCCAGTCCCTCCCAGTTCCTTCTCAGTGCTCCCAGCCCCTCCCAATCCATCCCAGTTCCCTTCCAATTCCCTCCCAGTCCCTCCCAGTCCCTCCCAGTTCCTCCCAGTCCCTCCCAGTTCCTCCCAGTTCCCCTCCCAGTGCTCCCAGTTCCTACCCAGATCCCAGTTCCCCGACTTCTCCCGCAGCAGCTCCAGCTCCTCCCGCATTTCTCCCTCTGGAATAAAAATCACGGAAAATCCCCGTGGATCCCCCTGGAATTCCCCAAGTTTTGGGAATCCAAATTTGCCTCATTTCGGGGATTTTTGGGGCTGAGGGGGCAGTTCCAGAGGGGATTTATTTGGGATTTCTCCCTGCTGGTAATGGAGTGGAGGAAACCCCAGAATTCCCATTCCAAAGGTAAAATTCCACCCCAAAAATTCACATTCCCACGTGGGTTCCCAACCCCAGCTGATTTTCAGGATCCCAAATCCCCTTTTTTGGGGGGCATTTTTGCTTTTTTTGGGCCATTTTTTCCCCTTTCTCGGGGGCATTTTCCCTTTCCTGGTGCCTTTTCCCGGATTTTCCCGGTTTTCCACTCACGGTTTCTCATGGATACCCCGTGCAGGACGGCCCAGAGCAGGCAGCTCAGGGCCAGCAGCACGGCCACGCTGACCACTGACCAGCGCGGGGCCCAATCGTTGGGATTCCATTCCAGAATTTTCCACTTCGGATCCACCTGAGGCCTCTGGGATGGGGCAGGGCCCTGGGAACGGCTCGGAGGCTCCTCCAGGATATAAACTGCAGGGAAATGGGGGGGAAAAAGGAAATTTTTTTGAATTTTAGGGGATTTTGGGGTGAAATCCTGATCCAGGGGGTTTCTGGGATACTGGGAATTGTGGGAATCGCCCCATTTTTGGGGAAAATGCTGAAGCAGATTCTGAATTTGCTGCATTTAGGGAATTTTGGGGGTTGAGGGAGGAATTCCGAAGTGGATTTGCTCCGGATTTATCCCCGTTGGGAGTGGGGTAGAGAAAACCCCAAAATTCCCATTTCAATGTGGATTTCAACCCAAAATATTCCCGTTCCAAAGGTGAATTTAAATCCCAAAATTCCCGTTCCAAAGCTGAATTTAAATCCCCAAAATTTCCATTTCTCAGGTGGAATTAAACCCCAGAATTCCGAATCTGAGGCAAAACTAAATCCTGAAATTTATGGGATAAAGTTTTCCGGGAATGCGGGGCCATTCTGGGGCCAAACCCCGATTTTTTGGGGATCCACCTTTCTTGGTTGGGGCAGCTCCGGCTGCCGGCATCCGATACAATTCTGACATGGACGCGTCCTTGGAGCTGGAAAAGAGGGAAAATGGGGAAAATGGGTGTTTTAGGTGGACTGGGAATCCTGGATTCTTTGGCAAGCATCAAAAAAATCACAATTCCTGCGAGATTTTCCCTTTTTTTCGTCCTTTTTTAATGGGTTTTATCGGCTTTCATCCCATTACTCCCAGAGCCGAGTTCTCCCCTTTTCCATTTGGAAATTCCCAGGTTTTTCCATGCTTTTCCCTACAAGAAATTGGTATTTTTTGACATGAACTGGTTCAGTTCCCAAAAATCCCAAAAATTACCCCAATAATCCCAACTGATCCCAATGATCCCAAAAATCCCAACAATTTGGGGTTGTTTTTTTTTTTTTTGGTTTTTGATTTTTTGTGATTTTGGGGGGGGGTTTGTGTTGTTTTGAGGGTTTTGGGAGAATTTGGTTTTTTGGTGTTTTTTTGGGGGGTTTTGGTGCATTTTTGGGGCTCCCAAATTCCGACGCCATCCGAGGCCTCCCCCAACAAAACAAGAAGTGGCCGATTCTCACTTTTCCCCCCCAAATTTCTCTTATCTCTCTCAGCTTCTCTTATCTCCCCCTGCAGCTGCTCCCTCCCCTCCTCTTTCCTCTAAATTTAAATTTTATTTTTCTTGAAATTCCAAATATTTTAAGCAAACTTCTCCACACCAACAACTTTGAACCCTTTCCTCCTCGTTTTCCTCCTCCAAACCCGAAATTAAAGGACCCAAAAGCACCAAAATCCTTCTCCCATTGAGCAGGAGCTCTCAAAATCCAGAAAATTCCAAAATCCATTGTTTCACCCCATCTTTGCTCCCAAATTTTTGAAGTCTAGGGTTCCGTTTTTGGGGATTTTTCCCCCAACTTTAATTTATCCACTGATTAAAATACTTAATCTACGTTGAAGTTACTGAGTTAACATTTAACTAAACGAATATTTAATTAAACAATTAAATTATGTTTAATTACATTGGTATCAAATAAACACCATATTTCATGAATTAATACTTAATTAAGTATGCAGTGTTTAATTATTTGATTTAATTAATTATCCACCATTGCTGTTCCAACAGGGAATCCAATCCGCCTCCAACGTTTCAAGATTCGTCCAAAGGGCGATTTCTTTAAAAAAAAGGGTTCCAAAATCCCCAAATAACCCCAAAACCGAGCAGGAAAATACCGAAATCATTTTGTTCCAGGCTGCCCGAGAAGGGGGATCTGAAATAACCCAGTTTCAAACGGCCAAATCCCAAAATAACGGCCCAAAATGACCTCGTCCAACAATCCCAGCTCCGAAATACCCGAAAACCGAATTCCCCAAACGGCCCCGTTCCCCACAAAACCGAGCCCAAAAATCCCAAATTAGCCCCGTTTCAAAATAGCAGAGAAGCCGCAAAACCCCGAATTCGCCCCGTTTCGAACTGCCAGGAAACCGAATTTCAGAATCCCAAAATAACCCCCTTGAAAAATCCCGGTTCCGAAATACCCGGAAACCCAATTCCAGAATCCCCAAATCCCCAGACAGCCCCGTTTCCCACAAAAACCGAGGTCGGAAATCCCAAAATAACTCCAAATATCAGCAAAACCAATCCCAAAATCCCCAAAAACCCAAAATCCAAAAAAATCCCAAAAATCCCCCGGAATCCACGCTCCGAATTCCGGGAATAATCGGGTTTTGAAATCCCAAAGTAACCTAAAAACCAAAACCCCGAGAACCGCCCGCTTTCGAAATTCCCAATTCCACGGCCTCAAATTCCAGAATGCTGAATTCCAAAATCCCAGGTGTCCCGAAAGGCCACAATTCCCCCCCAAAAAACAGCCCCAAAAGGGGGACTCACCAAAGAAACTGGGGAGTTTCGGGGTTTTCTCTAGGGGAATCCCAGCGGGGAAAGATCCGGAAAATCCCTCGGGAGCTCCGGGGCTGCCGCGTTCCGGCTGGGGCAGGAACGAACCCGAACCCGGCCGGAAATGGAACTCTTGACCAAAATTTTGGGATATCGGGAATTCCTTATCAGCGCTGGCCAGCGGTGGGCGGGGCTCCCGCCCCTCCCCTCATGAATATTCATTAACCCCCCCAAACCCCGATTCCCCCCGAATTCATTCCCGTGGTTGGGAATTCCGGGGGGGCTTTTCCTGGATCCCCTCCGGCTCCAGGGGGATTCTCCTGGAATTTTGGGGTTGGCCCCAGAAGGAGCCAATGGGAATAATGGGAGTAATGGGAATAATGGGAATAATGGGAATTGGATAATGGGAATAATGGGAATAATGGGAATAATGGGAATAATGGGAATGGGATAATGGGAATGGGAATAATGGGATAAAGGGATAATGGGAATGGGAATGGGAATAATGGGATTGGGATAAAGGGATAACGGGATTGGGAATAGGATAACAGGATAATGGGATATGAAATGGGAATGGGAATAATGGGAATGGGATTGGGAATGGGAATAATGGGAATGGGAATAATGGGATAAAGGGACAATGGGATTGGGATAACAGGATAATGGGATATGAATTTGGAATGGGAATAATGGGATTGGGAATGACGGGAATGGGAATGGGAGAATGGGAATAGGGGTGAGAATGGGAATTCCCTGACATTGGGATTTTGGGTGTTTTTTAGCAGGAATTCCTGGGATTTTGGGGGATTTTTGAGGCGCTGGAGGAGCCTCTGGAGAAGTTGAGGTTTTTGGGGTAAAAAATGCCCAAATTGGTTCATGTTCAAACCAGGGATTTTATTGGGGAGCCGGGGGGGGGTGGGAGGAGCAGATTTGGGGTTTCCTGGGATCTTTTGGGAGGGATTTGGGTTGTTTTAGATGCATTTGGGAGGATTTTGGGGTCATTTTGGATCCTTCAGGTGCAAAATTCGGCATCGCGGCGCCTCCGGATTCTGAGCTCCGAAATTCCGGGAAAAATTCCTTTTTTTTTTTCCTATGAGGGATCTGTTAAAAACCACCCCAAAACGGGCGCAGAGAGGCAGGAATTCAGCAATTCCCGGGTTTTTCACAAATCCAGCGGTGGAATTCCGAGCAGCGCGCGTTGACCCAGAGCCCCCGGGGGCCGATGGTGCCGCAGTCCTTCAGCTCCCTCTCCGAGTCCTCCAGCCACACATCCCAAAACCTGGGGGGAAAAAACGGGAAAAGGGGGAAAAACAAAAAAAAAAGGAATCAAAACATCCCCCCAAAAAATCCCGCTTTTGAGGCGGGAAGCGCTCCCAAAATCCCGTTTGTTCCAAGGTAAAAATTAAACTGGGAGTTTCCTCCCCAAATCAGGAATTTCTTCCCCAAATCAGGATTTTTTTTACTAAAATCCGGATTATTTTTTAAACCACAAAACCGGGAATTTTTACTGGAAGCCAGCATTCCTCCTGCTAAAAAATCCGATTTTTTGGAAAGGCAAATTGGGATTTTTTTTTTTTTACTAAAAACGGGGATATTTTTTTTTTTCCCCAAAACGGGGATTTTTTTTTTTCCTCCCAGAAATTGGGAATTGTACCAAAACTGGGGAATTTTACCTGAAATCGGGATCCTCCTCGGTGACCCAGCGCCACTTCCCCTCCTGCTCCCTGTCCGTCACCCCCAGCCAGTAGGAGCTGCTGCGGTTGCTGTTCTCCAGCAGGAACACCTGGAAAAAATTCCCAAAAAAACCCCAAATCCGCAATTCCCGAGGGCTACGGAGCCAAACCCCCGGGTTTCGGGGGGAAAAGGGAATTTTTTGGGTGTTTAAGGTTTTTTTATTGAGTTTTCATCTGATTGTGATCTATTGTGGGTTTTATTTTTAATGGGTTTTAATTCGGGTTTTATCCAGCATTCGTTCAGTGGTTATTAATTTATTGATCAGTTAATGCTGCTATTAATTAATTGTTCATTTAATTTGGGATGGATTTGGGGTTCAGGATGGATTTGGGATTTGGGGTCCGAGATGGATTTGGGATTTGGGATTCAGGATGGATTTGGGGTTTGGGGTTCAAGATGGATTTGGGATTCAGGATTTGGGATTTGGGATTTGGGGTCTGGGATGGATTTGGGATTTGGGATTCAGGATTTGGGATTTGGGGTTTGGGGTCTGGGATGGATTTGGGGTTCAGGATGGATTTGGGATTTGGGATTTGGGGTTCAGGATGGATTTGGGATTTGGGGTTCAGGATGGATTTGGGGTCCAGGATGGATTTGGGATTCAGGATGGATTTGGGATTTGGGGTCTGGGATGGATTTGGGGTCCAGGATGATTTGGGGTCCAGGATGGATTTGGGGTGCCCCCTCACCTGCTCCTCCTCGGAGCTGATGACCACCAGGTGCGCTCCCAGGTCGCCGCAGGCGTTGCGGGCGCTGCCCCAGCTGAGGGAATCCCGGGAAAAGGAGTAGCAGCTGTTCCCATGGGATTTCCATCCGGCCTGGCACCGCCGGGAGCTCCTGGCCTGGCACAGCAGCTCTGGGAAAACACCGGGAAAATCCCCGGGGGAAATCCCAGATTCTCCTCCGGGATCATCCCAGGGGCTCCCTGATGAGGAAACGCCTCAAAACCCACGGGAATCCTCCCAGTTTTCCCGTTGGAATGGGAATTCCAGGTGGGGTTATTTTGGGGTGGGGATCCCGGGGGTTTGGGGGAGATTTTGGGGGAGATTTTGGGAATTACCGGTGAGTTCCTGCAGCTCCAGCTGGTGCTGGTGGATCCCGAACTGCAGCCGGGTCTGCTCCTGCTGGACTGGGAGAGATCCCAGTGCTCCCAGTACAGCCCAGTGCTCCCAGTACAGCCCAGTGCTCCCAGTACAGCCCCTTCCCCATGGATCTGATCCCATTTTTCCCCTTTTTCCCCCCGGAATTCATCGATTATTTGTCAGCGGTTGAGGCTTTGGCCGATTCAATCCCATTTTTAGCCCGGGTCTCCCGAAGGATTTTCCGCCTTTTCCGTCATTTTTGGGCAGAAATAAAGGAATTTGTTCCTGCTTTTCCAGGGAAATCCCCATCAGGAAATTCCCCAGTGTGGGATAAATCCCAGCATTTTGGAATCTGGGGTGATCCTGGCTGGAATCGGGGAAAAGGGAGGAAAAACAGGGAAAAATCAGGGTTTTCCCCCCCAGATTTTACACCAAAAATGGAGCTGGAAAAGGTGAGAACCCCCAAAATCGGAGATTTCCTGGATGTGATTCCAGGACTTACCAGAATCCCAAATTCCCGACAAATTCGACTTCAGGAACTCCAGTTCCGCGCTCATTTCCTTGTCTGGAAGGGAAATAGTGGGAAAAAAAACTGGAATTCCTGGGAGCTAAACCTCAAAATTCCCATTTTTGGGTGGAATTCACTGCAGAATTCCCATCCCAGGTGGAATCCTTCCCAAGATTCCCATTCCAGCTGGAATTAAACCCCCAAATCCCCATTTTTGGGTGGAATGAAACCCCAAATCCCCATTTTTGGGTGGAATCAGTCCCCAAATCCCCATTTTTGGGTGGAATTAAACCCCCAAATCCCCATTTTTGGGTGGAATGAAACCCCCAAATCCCCATTTTTGGGTGAAATTAAACCCCAAATCCCCATTTTTGGGTGGAATGAAACCCCAAATCCCCATTTTTGGGTGGAATGAAACCCCAAATCCCCATTTTTGGGTGGAATCAGTCCCCAAATCCCCATTTTTGGGTGGAATGAAACCCCAAATCCCCATTTTTGGGTGGAATGAAACCCCAAATCCCCATTTTTGGGTGGAATGAAACCCCAAATCCCCATTTTTGGGTGGAATGAAACCCCAAATCCCCATTTTTGGGTGGAATGAAACCCCAAATCCCCATTTTTGGGTGGAATGAAACCCCAAATCCCCATTTTTGGGTGGAATGAAACCCCAAATCCCCATTTTTGGGTGGAATGAAACCCCAAATCCCCATTTTTGGGTGGAATGAAACCCCAAATCCCCATTTTTGGGTGGAATGAAACCCCAAATCCCCATTTTTGGGTGGAATGAAACCCCCACATTCCCGTTCCCGCCGGAATTCCGGGCCCACTCACGCTTCCCGATGGCCACGGCCAGGAGCCCCCCCCAGGCCAGGGCGCTCAGGGCCACCAGCAGGGCCAGGACGGCCACCAGGGTGGAATTCCTGGATTTTGGGGCCAAATCCCGGGATTTCGGATCCGAGTCCCGGGAACTGGGGCTGAAATCCTCCGGATCCTTCAGGGACGGAGCTCGGGAAGAGCCCGGAGGCCCCGCCAGGAGGTAGACGCCTGTTGGGAAGGGGAAAGATGGGAATTTTAGGGAATTTTGGGGAATTTTGGGATCAAATCCCGATCCAGGGGGTTCCAGGGAAATACGGGAAAATTGTGGGGATTTCCCCGATTTTTGCGGGGATTCCGAATCTGCCCCATTTATGGATTTTTTTTTAGGGAAATTGGGAATCAAATCCCCAAAATTTCGACTTCCTGAGGTGGAATCAACCCTAAAATTATCATTTTTAGGTGGAATTAAATCCTAAAATTCCCATTCCGGGGTGGAATTAAACCCTGGAATTCCGAAGTTAATCCATTTCGGGGCCAAATCCCAATCCCAGGGAATTTTTGGGATCCACCTTTGGCCGGGGGTCCCTGATCCGAGCCCACCACGGAGACGTCGTCGTAATCGTCCTCGAAGCTGTCGGGAGACGCTGGAAAAGAGGGAAAAACGGGAAAAACGGGAAAAACTGGATTTTAGGAGCGCCGGGAATCCCGGATTGTTCGGAAAATGTCCCAAAAAAATCGCAATTCCCGTGGGGATTTTCCCGTTTTCCCTCCTTTTTTATGGATTTTATCGGTTTTTATCCCTTTATTCCCAGAGCTGAGCTCTCCCCTTTTCCCTTTGGGAATTCCCAGATTTTTCCACGGTTTTCCCTCATTTCTCCCCCAGCAAAACTGACATTTTTAACAGGAACCAATTCCTTTGTTTTCTGCCCCAATTAACTCAGCCAGCGGCTTCAAAAATTCCCAAAATCCGGGGAATTCCCTCAAAACCGCGGGAAGGGTTTTAAAGGCTTATTTTTAAAGAAGTCCAAGGGGGAAAAATCGACTTTTCCGGGATTTTGGGGCCAGAGGATCGGCAGAAATTCCCAGTCCTGGCTGAAAATTAATCAGGAATTCCATCCTCCCCCCGAAAAAATCGGGAATTTTGGCGCTTTCCGTGAAGGATTTGGGACTGGGAAGGTGCAAATTCCATCCAAAAATTCCCTCAGAGCGGGATTTCTGGGGATTTTGGATTTTTTTTGCCAGCTCTTGACAGCAGGATCCCAATTTGGATCAAAATTCGGGACATTTTGGGCCAAAGGAGACAAAAATTGACCCCAAAACCTTGGAAAAACCCCGAAAATTGGGAAAAAGAAGAATTTACCTGGTCTGAAGTTTCCCACCGGGGACATCTTCCCGGGCACGGAGTAAATCGCTGCCAAAAGCGGGGAAAAATGGGGAAAAAACCGGGAAAAAACTGGGAAAGGAGCACTGGGAACAACAGGAGCATCCCCCAAAATCCCCACTGGGAACTCGCTAAAAACCCCGCTAAAATTGAGGCAAAACCCGCGGATTTTGGGGCTCTCGATGGCCCCGGGCTCATCCGAGCTCCAGCGACCACAAAGGGGATGAAAACTCCCAAAGAATGGGATTTACCCCCCAAAAAAAGGAGAATTTGGGGATTTAACCCGGTAAAAACGGGGATTTGGAGACTTAACCCAGAGAAAGGGGGTGGGATTTGAGGATTTTCCCTGGAAAAAGGGGAAATTGGGGGATTTCCCCCCAAAAGGGGTGCGGGGGTTCACCCCGGGGGTTCGGGGTTTACCTGGCTGCCGCAGCAGGCGCTTGGGGCCCAGCCAGTTGCCGTAGGTCTCCTGCTGGGCCATTTGGGGACCCCAAATCCTCCCCCGGCTCCTCCTCGGGCACGGATCCGCCCCAAAGCGCCGCCTCCCCCGGGATTTGGGGAGAAAACAGCTGGATTTGGGATCGGGGAGCCGAGGGGTTCCCCAAATCCACCGTGCTGCCGCCGACGGGTCCGGGACGCCCCAAAACGCCCCAAATCCCAAACTTGCCCTCCCGTGCGGGGCGAAACCGCAGATTTCCCAGCTGCTGCGGTCGGCCCCAGGTTTTTGGGGTAGAATCCCGATTTTTTGGGGGGTAAAACCCCAGAATTTTGGGGGGTAAGCTCCCCAGCTGTTGGGGCAGAATCCCAAGTTTTGGGTTAAAAGCCCGGATTTCCAGCTCTGGGTGTGAGAGCCGCGGTGACACCGGCGCCGCGCTTGGGCACCCCCGAGCTCCAGATTTGCATTTTCTACCCCAAAACGCTCCCAGCCTCGTTTTCACCTCTCTCGCTTCCCCTTTTCGGGCCTTTTTTAACCCAAAACCTCCGAGGAGGCGGCAGCGACGCTTCCCCGCCTGAATTTCCGGGGGGTTTGGTTAAACTGCAGCCAAAATCCCACGGATTTGGAGATTTCCCTGATTTCCTGATGGCAGCGCCACAAAAACTTAAAAAAAAATGGGAATAAACCCCCAAAATCCCCTGGAGATTCCCCAAAATCCCCTGGAGATTCCCCAAAATCCCCCCCTGGGGTCTCACCCTCCTCCCCCGGGGCTGGGCCCCGCCCCCGCTTTTGGGAAGATTTGGGGAGGATTTTGGGAGTCGGTTTTGGATCTTTCCCCAGAAAAGAAAAAAATCTTTTCATGCCGGGGGTGGTTTTGCCAGATTTCCCCCCTTTTTTCCCTGAATTTCCCGTTTTCCCCCCGGGATTTTCCCTGGTTTTAGCCAGATTTCCCCTTTTTGATGGATTTCCCCACTTTTTGGTGGATTTTCCCTGGTTTTGCATCCAATCCCCTTTCCCGGACCCCCAGGTGGATCCAGGCGGGAAAACCCCATTCCAGATGTGACCCCCCCACCCCGCTCCAGCTGTTCCCATTCCAGCTGTTCCCCGATCCAGCTGTGGCTATCCCGATCCAGCTGTTCCCGTTCCAGCTGTTCCGGACTCCAGCTGTTCCCATTCCAGCTGTTCCCATTCCAGCTGTTCCCATTCCAGCTGTTCCGGACTCCAGCTGTTCCGGACTCCAGCTGTTCCCCATTCCAGCTGTTCCCCATTCCAGCTGTTCCCCATTCCAGCTGTTCCCATTCCAGCTGTTCCCCATTCCAGCTGTTCCCGCTCCAGCTGTTCCCGCTCCCGCTGTTCCGGACTACAGCTCCCGGCAGCGCTGCCGGCGGCATCCCAGGAATTCGCGGCCCGGGATGGCGGCGCGGCCGCTGCGGGGCCCTTCGCTCTGAGGGTCCCGGGGGGGCTCGGGGGGGTCCCGGGGAGGCTCCCGGGGGTCCCGGGGGGGGTCCCCGGGCAGGCGGCGATGGCGGAGCCGCTGCTGCGCCGAACTTTGTCCCGCCTGAGGCGCCGGGAGCGCCGCGGAGCCGGGAGGGCGGAGGCCGAGGAAGGAGGTAACGACCCCCCCCCGCAGCTGGAATGGGACCCCGGGAACGGGAACGGGAGACCCCCGGGATGGGACCCCGGGAACGGGAACGGGAGATCCCCGGGATGGGACCCCGGGAACGGGAAACACCCCCGGGAAGGGGACCCCGGGAACAGGAACCCCACCCCGGGACGGGACCCCCCCATTTCCCCGAAAAAGGGAAACCCCCGGGAATGGGAAACCCCTCCCCGAGGAAGGGATCCCCTGGGAATGGGAGATCCCCGGGATGGGATCCCCTGGGAATGGGAGATCCCCGGGATGGGACCCCCCCGGGAGGGTCCGGCTGGAGCCCCCTGCTCACCCTTGGGGTCCCCCTTGGGGTTTCAGGAGGGTCCCGCCGGAGTGGCTGCGAGGAGCCGCAGAATCACCGCGAGGAGCCCCAAAATGATCGTGTGGAGCCCCAAAGTCATCGTGTGGAGCCCCTAAATCATCGTGTGGAGCCCCAAAATCTCCTCGGGGAGCCCCAAAATCATCGTGTGCAGTCCCAAAATGATCGTGTGGAGCCCCAGAATCACCGCGAGGAGCCCCAAAATCGCTTCGGAGAGCCCCCAAACCTTAACGAAGAGCCCCAAAGTCACCGCGAGGAGCCCCGAGCTCGGCGGCCGGAGCCCGACGGGGCCGAGCCCTGGGAAGAGGCGGAGGCCGGGGGCGGCCCCCCGGTTTTGGGGGGTCCCGGGAGACCCCCCGGGCCCGGCGCGTACCTGCAGAGCCTGGAGCGCAGCAGCCGCCGCTGGGTGCTGGCCGGGAAGGGCGCGGAGGACGCGGGGGCCACCGGGCACGGCGACAGCGGCGCGGCACGAGGGGACATTTGGTACAACCCCATCCCCGAGGATGAGGATGACGAGGGGACCCGCGGGGAGGGGACCCCGAAGGGTTTGGGGACAACGGAGGGACACGGAGACCGCGGAGAGGAGGCGGGAGCCGGGCGGGGACAGGCCAGCGGTGAGGGGGGGACATTGTCCTGCTGTCACCTCCCCCCGACCCTCGCGGTGCTCCCCACGCGTCACAGGCCCTGTCCCCACTGTCCCCACTGTCCCCACTGTCCCTGTCCCCCCTGTCCCCACTGTCCCCTGTCCCCACTGTCCCCCCTATCCCCTGTCCCCCCTCCCCCCC